GATGACTAGGCAATAAACAACAAAATAAGAAAGTAACTTCTTCACTGCCACAATATGCTTTCATATGCACAGACATATATGACTGTTAAGTATAAAAGAAGGAAGATGAAGAAGATTAAGAGAAAAAGCCTAAGACAAAAACAAGGAGCAATACGATGACTTTTTCTTTCATAACAAAGTGTATCTATCATTGTTTACTTGCCTAACAATGTTATTTCACTGATAAATGCTTGTCAATCATAAGGTGAATTGATGACCATAAATTGTTGATGTTCATTTTTGTAAATTACACGACCATTACGTGTGAAAGCATATTTTTTGTCATTGCCATCTAATTGACTACGTAGTTCATCTAATAACTGTTTATCCATTTTCGTTAAATCCTCATAAATGGTAATACCAGGTAAGTCTTTTACTTTTTTACGTTGTGATAAGAATGATCGAAGTTTAACTCTCGAGAGGAACCTGGCAATAACTGGACGTGATACACCTTCCTTTCTGGCGCCTATTGGATGTGATAATTCGATATCTTCCGTTTGTAAGTTAATACCAGCTTTTTGCGCACATTCAACAATTCTATTTGTCATTTTACCACCTTCTTGTTCTTTAAATCCAATAAATCTTAAATTAAATTGTCTGGAATGTCGTTGGCGTTTATTTACTGACTGTTCTAAATAATAATTTTGATATTCCAATTGATCAATACGTTGTTCAATTGATATTAAGCGTTTATTTATTCTTTTTATTACAGCATCATAAACTATATTTGTAATATCATCAATGGAGTTTGATTTTAAGGATTGTATTTGTTGTTTTATTTCTGCATCATTTTGTAGTAAGTCAGTAATATCATCACGAATTAAACTTTTGTCTATATGCAGATCAGATTGCTTTGGTACTGCTACTGTTTCTTTCATTGACTGATCTGGTCTCATACGAAATGTTTTACGATTTGTAACACCTTCCTTTTGTGAAGAAACCGGCATCTTATACATTTACTGTTATAGAGCAGCTTCACTTTTATATACTTGTACACATAAAAATATATCGACTTATCTCCGTGAAAAAATATAAGAGAATGTAACATTTGTTATCGAATGCTTTTGTAAATAATAAAATTAAACAAACAATTATATCTATATAGGATTAGTTCTGTGTTTACTCAATTATTTCGCAACAATTGATATTAACAGTCATAATTAAAAAGAATATAAGCAGATAAGTCTCTATACTTGCTATTTTGACAAGATATTTTATAAAAGAACTACCGACTTTGGAACTATAATAGTCATAGTCAGGTACAATACTTTACGATTCCCGACTATTTGTGATGCTTATTTCAGCTAACTAATAAAATATAGATTAAACTAAACTAACTATAATAGTATGATCACTCCTTCTTGTTGTTAATCATTAACAGAAATAAACATTATATTGACATCTATCCACTTTACACTGTAAAGTAGATCGATATCAATATAATGTTTATTTTTGTCTTTTGCATATTACTCTAAAGAGTAATATCAACTACAGTTGATAGCACAGAAAAGTTCCAATTTTCAATAATTCTTTTTGAAAGTTTTTTGAAAAAGTTTTGAGAAAAGTTTTTATCAGCGGCGGCGGTGTAATATTTTAAAAAACATTCAGCTTAAGGCGGAGGCGGCGTGAAATTTTAAAATTTTCATTCTGCGGCGTCTTCTTTAGTGGCACGACTAACACCCCTACGTGTATTTACTTTATCAGAGAAATTATGCATCGCTTCCTTATCATATGCTTACCTGCAAAAATTGTAAATATGAAGTTAGCCGATTCGGACTCAACACGTAGCAAACTTGGTGAGTTCCAG